GGTTGTCGTACCTTGTAATTTGTCCAAACTACATCATTTTACTTAGTTTGACAGAGGCAAGAAGAGGTTCCTGGTGGCCCACAAAACTTTCAAACCTTTTCCACACAAACTCATTGGTTTTATGTTCCCAACAAAAGATGCCAAGGAATTTTCTTTGGGGAGGCAGTTTCTCTTGAAAGGATTTTGTAGCAAGAGAAACTGACTCCCCAAAGAGATCAAATAATTTTGAAAATTTTATTAATTTCTCTTATGTGAATTTGTCTGTTCTAATTTTTAAATCTTTTGTTTAATGTTGTTTGTTTTTGTTTTATGTTATCTCCCATTATTGTTATAGAAAACAGGCCTTCACAAACTTTTTGAATTGTCAACTCCACCTCTGCCCTTGTTTGGTAGAGAAATTTCGGTCTCTTCTTGGAATTTGGAATCATTCAAATTTCCATCAAAATTGGCAATTTTTGCTAGGAAAGACAGAAATGCATAAAAATCAGTTTTAAGAAATTGCTGAATGGATTTTTGAAATTAAAATAGGAAATGTCTCTTTAGTCCTGGATATGATGATAAACTACATCTGGCAGAAAGGCTTCTGATTGGGAGATTGGAGCATGAGACCACCTCTTAATTGCTGTTGTTCCCAGGCCCAATGCTGACCTGGGTTGGTAGCAGCTGTTAGGGTCCCAGCTATAGGCAAATAGTGAACCCCCACCAAACAAAAATAAAACACTATGAAAGTATAAAATATATATTTATTGTAAAATTACCAACAGTACATATTTATAGCAAAAGGACTAACAATACATTTTATTTGTAGTCTAAGGCATACAATTGTGTATAAAAGTATATTTAGTTGAAGCCATAAAATTGTGTTCAAAATATTTAGATTTTGGCATTTCCATAGAGGTTGATATGCTGCTAAACAAAATCAACCAATCAATCAACAAATGTGACTCATAAACGAAAACTCTGGTGCCAGACCATTTTTGTAAAAGTTTCAGAATTGCAGAAGACAAGAAATGAAATACTTAGAAATAGCACTTGAAAATGTTAGCAAGTTTGTGTTGCTTGATCAATTTCAACTGAAGTAGGTGCTCCATGCTTTTGGCCATGTACCACACCTAAGCTATTCTTAGTAAATAAATACTTAGAAATGATATTGACTACTACAAGTGTTGATTGACTTTTAATTCATTCTCTTTTTTTCTTTTTCAGATATTCCATGGGATCTTTCAACTAAGTTTTTCCCCCTCCTTTATCATGGTCCCCCACCCCACCCACCTATCCAGCAGAGAATGACCACTGTTTGTTATTTTTTTCTTTTCCATCTTAAAGACGGAAACAAACCCTTTTCCTGAGACTATTGGGTAATTCTCACCTGGACTCTACAATCATAGTCTGTACCCAGTTTTGTCCTCAAAGTACAGCAGATACCAACCCTTTTTTTTTTTTTTTTTTTTTTGAAAATAGTCTAATTTATTTTTTGAGCATCTACATTCACCTTGTGTTGTTCCTTTTTTGCGACATGGTGACCACAAAAAGAAAAAAAAAAAACATTTTCAGATTAAAAATGTACAATCAACTTTGCCGGGTTCGTCTTTATATATTAATGAACAAGATCATCAGCTTTTAATTTTTGAGATAAAATTCGCCCCTCTCTTTGATAAATTTGTGTGTCCAATTTATTTTATTTTTTTTTTTTTAGTTTTTAAACAATATAGCACAATAGTATACGGCTTGTTATCACTTGTTTGTTATATTCTTTTCTAATCAAAGCAAGTGCAATAAAAAGAAAAACGAAAAAGAAATGATTAAATCCTGTAATCTTTTTAAGTAACTATTCTTAATTATTATTAATTGGCAGCAAAAACACATTCATCTGAATATTGAAAAGAAAGAATCCAAAAAAGAAATGTGGGTCATTCAATGAGAAATAGTTTTAGTTTTGAAAGGGAAAAATTCTCAGTACAAGTTGAATTTTTGTTGTTTTAAGGAATCGTTTTGTTGTCTTAGATAATCATATTTTGTTTCTTTTAGTTTTTAAACTAATTATGAGTAGGAAAATTTTGTTCGAAACAAAGAAAAGTGTACTGAACTATTATGTAATGTCAGTCCTGCTCTATGGTAGTAAATATTGGATAATCTTATCACAGGTGAAGAAGATACTTGAAGCAATAGAAATGTATAGAAGTGGGGTATATATTATTTCCCTTAATTGGAACTATTATTACCTCCTTTAGTACTCTGTTTGATATATATTTGTACTAGCAGCCATACACAGCTGGTCAATCAGAAAAAGTGTTCAATTAGAATGGAGCAAAAACAGCATCATGTTTAGATGTAACAGAGTCTAACTTCTTCAATTACTTTAAAGTACTTTCATTAGAAACATTTTAAATTAATGCACTTACTGATATAACAAAAGTAGTTTGTATTTATTTGATCAAAGTTAGCTGAGGATATGAAGGGATAAAACAGGCAACATGAAGACCCACTTCAGACCACAATTATTTTGGAGTTTTTGAAATTTACTTTATCAGTGTGCTATTAGGGATGTAAAAGAAGAGACATTTATAAAGCAATTGTTAAGTTTGATGAAAATTGGTTGAAAGATCAACAAAAAATAACAAAGAAACCAGTAAAAATCACCATGTTTTGATATTTACGTGAGTTTTCACTATATGCGTTGGCTTATTTATCAAGTTAAATGACTGTTAAACAATCAACTTATTGTTGGCTACAATTGAGTGAAGTTTGTATTAGATTGCTTGAAAATTGAGTGAGTTTTTAGTTTAAAATTTGGGTTGAAATTGATTTTTCGTAATTTTTTGTTAAATGCAGTGGCATAGAAATAAAAATGAAGTATCATTGAGCTTGTCATGATGTAAGTAACCTACATACCAAGTTTGAACAAAATTGGAGGAAAAATGTTGAATTATCAATTTTTGATCAGCGTTATCAATTATTGATTTTTAAAAAAATTATTGATTTTTCTTATGCTAAGAACCTATCTCTTACATTGTACAATGTATGTGCCAAGTTTGGTCAAAATTGGTTGGATAGATCTTGAGTGTAAAGGTATCACATAGACAGATATCCTCTGTTTTATATATATAGATGAAAAATGCAGAGAATATCATGTAATGAACAGGTGAGCAATGTCAGTTTAAAAAAAAAAAATGGAAATAAGATGACATTTATATTTAACATCAAAAAGAAACAGTTGAAATTTCTAGGTTACATAATGAGAAAAGGTGGTTTAGAAAATTTGACACTCACAGGCCATTGAAGGCAAGCTTGTGTAAATGGTTTGCAGAACAGGGATTAGGAGAGATAGCAAAAAGAGAAAATTTCCTAAGAGCTACAAAGGGGAGGATATTGTGGAGACCTAGGATCATCCCTGTCTTGAAGAGACATGGCATGTAGCTGATGCTGATGAGTAGTGGGTGGACTGAAAAGTTTTTGGCCTGGAAAAAAAAAAATTATTTCACCAGAATCTAACATGTTTATGAGTTTGCCATTCATTGTTGCTTTGAATATTGCTGCCACATCTGGTCTGGTGCTCTTGATAAAATCTAAAGAAGAATCTGCAATGTTATTGGTCCTGACCTGTCATCTTGGCTTCTCTTTCCCACTACTGTAATGTAGCTTCCCTGTGTCTTTTCTATAAATACTTTCATGGTAATTGTTTTGGAACTTTCCACTATGTTACCTAGACTTTATGAATTTAAGTGCAGTACTAGATTGGCAGATAGGTCTCCTCATTTTACAGTTGAAATGGCTAGATGTAACTGGAAGTTCTATCCCAACTGTTTCTTCTATTGCACTTTTTGCTTGTGGAACCCTCTTCCAGCTTCTTGCTTCCCAGTCCACATTGATATTCCAAAATGTTTGTTTTTCTCCCTGCAAACACTCAATGATATGAACAAGGATTTTATGACAACCAGTAAATTCACTAGTATATAAATTAATTTCACAAAATAAATTGATGCCTACTATTACTACTACTACTAAAATAATATTAACTTGATAAAAGCGCACATTTAAAATTTGATAAAAATTTAAGTCAACTATACATTTATATATACTATGACCTGGCATCTCGGCTTTCAGTCCCTTTCCCACTGCCATAAGATAGTTTCCTTGTGCCTTTTCTATAAATACTTTCATGATAATTGTTTGGATAAACTTTCCACCATGGTATCCAGACTTTATGAATTAAGTGCAGTACTAGATTGGAAGTAAGGTCTCATCATTTTATTTGTTTTTCTCCCTGCAAACACTCAATATGAACAAAGATGTTATGACAACCAGTAGATTCTCTAGTATATAAAGTAATTTCACAAAATAAATTGACGCCTACTATTACTACTACTAAAATAATATTGATAAAAAGAGCAAATTTAAAATTTGATAAAAATTTAGAAAATACTATACATATACATATATCCAATGACCTGACATCTCAGCTTCAGTCCCTTTCTCAATGCCATAAGATACCTTCCTTGTTCCTTTTCTATAAATATTTTCATGGTAATTGTTCAGATGAACTTTCCGCTATGGTACCTGGATTTTATAAATTTAAGTGCAGTACTAGGTTACAGTTGAAATGGCTAGATGTAAACATAACTTCTATCCCAACCGTTTCTTCTGTCACACTTCTCACTTGTGGAACTCTCTTCTGGTTTCTTGCTTTCCAGTCAACTTTGATCTTCAAAAATTTAAATGGGATGTCAGTTGTTATCTTCTGTCTTCTTAATTCTTCTTTTATTGACCTCTCTTCTCAATAGTAGTTTTTCCTCATATTCTCTAACCCTCAGTAATACCTTGCATCTTAGTGGCTTTTTGTCTTACCTGGGGTGAAATGAAAAAAAAAAAAGAAAAAGCAAGAAGAGTTCAAAACATTGTTTGGTCAGAATTAAGAAACTGGATGGGGCCAATAATTCCCCCCCCCCTGATAAGTGCTACCCTAAAGTTCAGACAGCTCTTTTAGCTTACAGGCACATCACATTGAAACATTGGTTCCTGTATGATCACTGAAGTTAAGCAATATTGAGCCTGGTCAGTACCTAGATGGATGATCACTTGGGAATACCAGGTACTGTAGGTTTTGATGTGTAGGTGGTGGAATGGATAATGACACGGAATTGTTAATCGGAGAGCAGAGTTCCAGTTCCCCTTGGGTTCATTATATTCAATTATGTGCAAACAACTTTGAGAAAGTTATGAATCCACCTCTTCTTCCCCGAGCTATGGGTTAAATAGTAAGACTTGTATCCCTAAACCATTATCTCCCAAAAAAGTTGGGTTCATTATATTCAATTATGTGCAAACAACTTTGAGAAAGTTATGAATCCACCTCTTCTTCCCCGAGCTATGGGTTAAATAGTAAGACTTGTATCCCTAAACCATTATCTCCCCAAAAAGTTCTTATATATATATATATATATATATATATATATGCAGGTAAAATAATCAGCTCCCTGTACCACTCCAGTAAGTACCTGACTCCCCACGCTATCCTCTACCTTTATAAGAGCCAGATGAAGCGAAAAATGGAGTATTATTGCCATATTTGGATAGCAGTTTCCCAGATCTCACTTTCCAGTCTTGATAAAGCTGAAAAGCATTTTCCACCCTCCAACCTCTCTCTCTCTCTCACTTACAGGTGGGATGTGGTGAGTCTCTTACTGTTCTATCACTACTACCATGGAAATTGCTTGGACAAACTGCATCTCCTGGTTCCACTGGAGCTGACCTTCATGACTAGGGCCTGCCATACGTCTTACATAGCAGAAAACCACCCTCATTCCCTATGTATTCCATCATTGAGAAGTAAGTTTCACTCAAACAGCTTCTTCCCATGAACTACTGCTCTATGGAACAGACTCCCAAGAGGATGTTTCCTCAATCACTACAATCTTAACCTGTTCAAGTCTAGGGTCAACCATTATCTTCCCCTGTATATATAAACTACCCCTTATTGTTACCTACTTTGAGTTGAGTGACCCCCATCCCCCACCGGCCTTGTTACCGGGTAAACTTACTGTAAAATAAATATATATATTTTTTTTTTTCTGGCTTTAATTAACCTGCATGGGTTGATAAACCGTAAGAAAAAAAAAAGTCTTTTAGTTTGGAATGAAAAATGAAAGAAAATGTGGTTCTATCATTCCTTGTGAAATATCAGGTAAGGCATGATTAATTTTATTTTATATGCACACACACACACACATATATACAACCAACCTACAGTTTGGACATTGGAATCAACACTGCATAGTGATTGTTAGTCTGAAGAGCTTGTTGAATTATGAAACTGTCAATAACCTTGCAGTGTTGATTCCTATGTCCACACTGACTACACCTATCTGGTTGAAAGAAAGAAGTTTCTTAGTGTTTCTAAATAAATTTAATATTCTACAAACCATGAGAACTTTCCTTCTCACCAGATCTAGGAGGGTTGGCTGGAAAATTCCTAGGCTGACCAAAATACTCCCATGGTATGTGACCAAATGAGATTTAGTTTTCAACATAGGTCCCTTTGTGGCCCAAGCACTGCAACACTGTTTTGGCTACATCTGACTATCATCTCTTCTCCAACATGGAAAAAAAGAAACACTTTACCTCGGAGTCAGTATGCCAGTGATGATGTCATATCAGCAGTTGAAGACATTTTTGATCAACAGGATGGAAGCTTCTTCACTAATAGGATCCGAATATGGCAACACTGATGGAGGAAACAGTAATTTGGAATTGGAAAGAAAGCTGTGATAGCACCTATTCTGAATCCATGAAAATTCAATAATCTAAGAAAAAAAAGGTATTGCCCTAACAAAAATCTTGCTACAATGGGTTGTTTTGTGTTACATTAATAAATACCCAAATAAATCTAGTCATATTTTTGAATAGTGAAGCACAAATTTAAATAGAAATTTGTTATATTTAGTTATTTTGGATTGGCTTTCAAGATTTGTCAAAATAAATTTCTCCTGTGTCTTCGGTTTTTTTTTTTTTTTTTTTTTTTTTTATGGAAGGAAAATTGGATATTGATTCAAACGACCATGTGAGTAATGACAAAGTTTTAGAGAAAATGGAAACAAAAAGGAAACTAATACTTAACATCTGGGATAGACAGTTGAAATTTTGGGGGCACATAAAGAGGAAGAAGACCTTGGAAAACCTGATACTCATGGGACAGAGGGAGAGGAAAACAAGGCATAATACAGGACAGGAAGTTGTGGAGAGCCATGATCGCCTACGTCCTGAAGGGACACGGCACAACAGAGAAGATGGATATAGTGAATATCTTGGAGCAGCTGACAAGATATTTTGTCAAATGTGAGCTCAGTATCCCAATTTCTGATGGTCATCTCAAACCAAAATATCTTTTCGTTATTTGTTCTCCAGTAAGGTAGGTTGATTTTGGAAGCATGGTATTGCACTCATTCTAAAAGTTAGGGTTTGACATGATAAATAATGGCACAAAATATTTTTTTCAAATCATTACCGTTTTTTTGAGGTAATGAGTTTAAAGTTTAGGTTCAAAATCGTAGCTTTGCAATTTAATTCCAGTGATCAATGAAAGTCTTATAGCACAACCTTTTAAAATTTATAATTTTCTGAAGCTTTACAAATTTTATGTGGACAAGATGCATGGTACAAGGACATTATTACTAAATCATCGTGCCATCAAATAAAACCTTCATTTACTTCAAAGGGAAATTATACTGAACAGTTTAGCTATATTATGATGTTATACTGTGCAGTAGTTTTAGTATGATTTTCAATAAACATTTTGTCTTATTTGTGCCTAGCAGTTTTATGGTGTTATATACACTTACTATTTTTTGTTTTTATTAATTATGATCTAACAAATCTTATTCATTGAGTAGCCTTTTTGTAATCTTTTACATTTCTTTTTTTACACAGTATTTACTTATCGAATACAGTATTTTTTTTTTTTTGAAGCGGCATATTTTGTTTGTGGTGATTCATAATTAGAATTCTGGTTTGAATATATTTTCCATTCAATTTATCTAATACGAAGATATTTGAATTTATTCTTGAAATAGTAAAATTTTAAAGCAAAAAACCTGCAGAAATTAAGTATTTCTGTACAATTTTTTCAGATGATCTTTAAAACTAAATTCTCAAAAATTGGTAAAAGCTATGAATCTAATTTTTGGTGTCAGTACTTATCGCATTAAACCCTCACTAGCAAGGAGTGCAATGTTGATTTTCTAAAAAAAAAAAGTGAAAAATTAACCTACTCTCTTTATGTGAGTAAAATTGTCAAAGTCCGGTTGTAATAAGAAACATCTAAGATTATTTAACAAAATTAAAAAATATTATTGATAATACTTTATCTAAAATAAATAAAAAAAAAATAATAATACAGCAGAATCTCTAACAACCAGACTAAGAAGGCCTTCCGGATATGAGGAATTGTTTACGAAGTCTTGGATATAGGGGGTTATATTTAGATTAAAATAAAAGAACTGAAATCAGGTTAACATTTATTTTCACTGTGAACAAAATAAGCTAATGATGAGTGAAATATAACGGAACTGATTTTAAGGAAAAAGAAATAAATTATGTAATGTTAATAAAAATTCATTAAATTAAATATGCCACGTATGCAAAACAATGTAATGGGGATTTTTTAATCAATCTTTTCTAATGTCATTCTCAACTTTTTCCGCATTTCATTTTGCTTTTGAAAATTTTTAAACGAAAGACAATTTTTAACTCTGTGTGCGTTATTACAATCGTCATAGCTTAATGCTGGCTTTCTTTCCATAAAACTGACAACCTTTTCAATAGATTTTTCAATTTCAGTCCAGGTTTCATCACAATCATTTTTTTTATTTCCTTGTTCATTGTGACAGTGTGAACGCTGGAGAATAGTTTCTTTGGAAGATTTTATATATCCTATAATATTGACTTTCCTTTGCTGAACTCAGCCATTAGTTTCAATGAACTTTCACCAGCGTCTAGTTTGTTTAAAATTTCCACTTTTTGCGATAACTCCCAAATTGTTAATTTCCTCTTATTCTCATCATCTTTTGCACCAATACAAGCCATTAGGGTGAAAGAAGCATAAGCAATTATCCAAAGTAAATTTCCTGAAAAACAGAAATTTCAACTCAGTTACATATCACTCAAATAGTTCAAATATACGCATCAAAATCATGTCCGGATATTAGGAGATCTCGGATATGAGGGATTCTACTGTATTGTTTCTGATGATACAGTTGGTCTAAAAACAAAACAAAAATGGTATTGAGAAATTGAGAAAGTTTTATGGTTAAGCTTCTAAGAATAGATTTCTGAGTAGATCTGATGGTAAGAGCAGCTGGTATAGCTAATCAGGATTTCTTATGGCAATGGTGATGTGAGTTCGATCCTTATCAGGAGTTCTTTATTATTTCTTATATACAATGTTGTAGATTGATAGCCTGAGTAAATTAGCACTAAACAACAACTTCGAAAATTAAAAAAAAAATCTCGTCAAAATGGTTGACAATCTGCTTTTTGTTTTTTCCAGTTTTATTACATTGAATCATTTTAGCTTTGGGCTTCCAAAGAGCCCAACTCAGCATTATTTGGGTTGAATTGTTTCAAGTGTTGAATTACGAGTTTTTTGTAAAATACATTACACAATCAAATTTTAATTGATAAAGCTTGGCAAGACATTTTTGTTCAGTAAAAATATATAGTATAGAGTGAGTTTTTATGATCAGTTTTTACGCAAAAAATAGGGGGTCGCTCTATACACAGGTAATTTTTTGGAAGAGGTTAAAAAATCATGCATTTTTTGGTGACTGGTTGCACTATACACAGGTAATCTTTTCTTGGAAAGGTTCTAAAAAAATATCTTTGTGCCAAAAATTTCAGTGGTTGCACTATACATAAAGTCGACTTATACACGAGTATATAAAGAAAGGATCAAATGACTGTACTCAGAGTTCTAACATCAGAGTTCATGAAACTTCTGAGTTTGCCAGTGCTCTGCTTTTCTGCCTCTATGTCTTTTGGCGGAGAGGAACTCAGACAAGGCTATGTCCACGGGCAGACTCGTCTGGGGAGCTAGACAGCCACCCG